GTCCACGTAGGACATGTAGTATGCGTCAGTCCATTCTGTCTGACGTCCTGTCCGCCATGGCCTGTCTCATGGAACGGACAAAGACTCAACAGCCGTCCTGTCTCACAGATCAGTGGATCGTCGGTCTATGAACCCTAGACCCTAAACCCTGGACCGACTTGCACTTCTGACAGATCTTTCACACGTTTTCCCAGTGAGGAAACGCCATCGACGCAGGCCGACGTAGATTTGACATCCATCTTTGTTCACTGTGTCATGTCGCTTCTTTAGGGCGTGACCGAACGCCGGTGTCGTCGCTTGGAGCAGCAGCATGTCGTTGCTCCCTGGTGCTCGGAAGTTTGATCCAAATGCTGTGCCGCCGGTTCCCGAAGGATACAGCGTCGGGCTGGGAAGAGGGTAACTAACAAACACAACACCCACCCGCACACGTCATTCGTATGTGTCCCTCCCATGCATCCATCTCCTTTTTGTGGCTGTGTTTGGTGTGTGTCAGTGCCAGATCGTTCACCACCCGAGCTGATTTGGGCGTAGCGCCAGTCGTTCCTGGTGCGGGCAGGGGAGATGGAGGCGGCCGCGGAGGCGGCAGTGGGTAAGCCAACACAACCCACCACACGCCCCTCTCCAAATGACACCACATGTGGTCAACTGATGTGCGTCGAATGTATCTGCGATAAATGAATGTGTGTCAGGCCGTGGGGTGCGCCGCCGGCGGGTTATGTCCCGGGTCGCGGTCGTGGTGCGACGGGGTTTGCGGGCGGTGTGTCGCGTGACGACACGGTGGACCACGACAAGGCCGACTACAGTGACGCAAACTACGACGAATTCAGCGGATATGCTGAGTCGCTCTTCAAAGACGCTGAGTCAGTCAGGGGACAAAGGGAGGGAGGGAGGGAGGGAGGGAGGGGGTGAGATGACGGCGTGATGTGTGATGGGTGCAGGTATGACGACGAGGATCGGCAGGCGGATGAGATCTACGAGGACATCGATCGCACCATGGATTTCAGGAGGAAATCTCGAAGGTCAGTCAGGCAGCGGTCAGACAGTCGGGGACGATCATGCATGGGCACTCGAAAAAGCAAGCTGGGGTTGCACGGCACCGCGTGGCACGTTCTCTATGTGTGCATCATCTCTCAGGGAGCAGAAGCTCAAGGAAGAGCTCGCCAAACTTCGTGCGGAGAAGTGAGCAACCACGTGAAGCGAGCAGCCAGATCTGGCTTGAGCATCCAGACATGTTTCGGTCCTTCTGCTTTCTCACGTCAGGCCTACCATCCAGGCGCAATTCGCCGATCTGAAACGCAACCTCGGCAACGTCAGCCGAGGTATATGCACCTACAGGGAAACACCATAAACACATTCACTCACCACAATATTGCTGTGTTGTGTTGGCTCTTCTGTCCTCCTGTCTGTCTGTCTGTCTGTCTGTGTTTGGCTCAGAGGAGTGGGAGGCGATCCCCGACTCGGGCGACACGAGCATCAAGAACAAACAGAAGAAACCACAACAGTACGTGTGTAACACCCCCCCCACCCAACAGACGCACATGAGGTGCGGCAAGGTCCACCCACCCATTGTTTGCAGGTTGATGCCGGCGCCCGACTACCTGTTGCACGGCGCCCAGCTGTCTGGCCGCAGCACAGGCACGGTGCAGCGAAGCGGTCTGGCCACGCCCATGATGGGCTCGCAGACGCCCATCGGGGGCCTCTCAACGCCCATGGGACTGCAGACACCCATGGGGCTCAGGACGCCCCTCGGTCGGTCAGATAGCCGAGATCAGCCCAGATAGATGCCTTCGTTGATTGCCTCGTCCCCCATATCCACGTGTTGTGGTGTTGTTGGATCGATCAGGTTTGTCGACTCCCCTGGGTGGGCTGTCGACGCCTCTGGGTCTGCGGACGCCGATGGGCAGCGCATCGTCATCGCTCAACGACCTGGGCGAGGCACGCGAGAAGGTGCTGTCGGTGAAGCTTGACAAGGTCATGGACAGCGTGTCGGGGCAGACAGTGATGGACCCTAAGGGATACCTCACAGACCTCAATTCTATGCAGGTAGGTGGGCAGGGCAGGCCACACAGACGGCTGGCGGAAGGGACGCACAGGCACAGCACATGGGTGTTGTGTCATGTGGCTGGTTGGTTGGTTGGTCAGTTGAAGAGCGATGCCGACATAGCTGACATCAAGAAGGCCCGTCTGCTGCTCAAGTCCGTCATCACGACCAACCCCAAACACCCACCCGGATGGATCGCTGCCACGCGACTCGAGGAACTCGCCGGTAAGTCGGACACCCACAGTGCACTGACCACCACATTACGGACGGCATGATATGGCGACATGCCTCCTGCTCTTCTCTGTCTCTGTGTTGGCTGGTTGTTTGTGCCAGGCAAGATAATCGCTGCGCGTGAGTTGATAGCTCAGGGGTGCAAGCACTGCCCCAACAGTGAGGACGTGTGGCTCGAGGCGGCTCGCTTGGAGAAACCTGCCAACGCCAAAGCCGTACTCGCCAAAGCAGTCAAACAAATGCCGCACTCGGTAAGAAAGAGACCAACCGACCAGCCAACACCAGACCCCACAGCAAGACATCCTGTCGTGGATTGTTCCATGGGAGTGCAGGTGCGCCTATGGCTTGACGCGATGAACCGTGAGACGGAGAAGGAGATGAAGGCGACGGTATTGCGGAAGGCGCTGGAGTTCATCCCCAACTCGGTGCGTCTGTGGAAGGAGGCCGTGTCGCTGGAGGACGAGGGCAACGCGCGCATTCTGCTGAGCAGGGCGGTCGAGTGCGTCCCGCAGGCCGTCGAGATGTGGCTGGCGCTCGCCAGGCTGTCCACCTACAAGGAGGCCCAGAAAGTCCTCAACCAGGCCAGACTCAAGGTACCCACCAGCCCTGTCATCTGGGTCTCAGCAGCCAAACTCGAGGAAACGCAAAACAACGTCTCAAAGGTACGTACGTACGTCGGGAGGGGAGGGGGCCAGCCGACAAACACAGCACACACAATGCTCTTGGTTTCGCATCTCTTCGCACTGCATGGCCTGGCCTTTTTCTCTGTGCTGTGTGTGTCGGATAAGGTGGACGTCATCATCAATCGTGCGCTGGAGAGTTTGGCCAACAAGTTCCACGTGACGCTGGAGCGCGAGACATGGCTCAAACTCGCCGAGGAGGCCGAGAAGTCGGGACACGTCAACACGTGCAGGGCAATCGTCAAGGTCACACATAAGACATCCCACAGACAGAGGCGAAGTGACGTCACTCACTGATTGCGTTGATGTGTGGTGTGTTGTGTGAATGCAGGCGACTATGGAGGTGGGTGTAGAGGACGTCAACATGAAGAACATCTGGAAGGAGGACGCACAGGGCTGCATCGCCAGAGGTGCAGACACCCCAACACAAACCTACCCACGTGTCACCATTCAGCTGTATTTACGTGTGTGTTCTCTGCTCGCGTCTGTTGGATCCTGTCGAACAGGTTCGATTGAGACGGCCCGTGCTTTGTACAACAACGCGCTGGACATCCTCAAGACCAAGAAGAGCCTCTGGATGGCACTCGCAGACCTCGAGACCAAACATGGCACCGCAGAGTCACTCGACGCTGTCCTGCAACGGGTGACCGATCACCCACCACTGACTGACCAAAATCATCGTGGGTGCATTTCCTCTGCTGTGTGCTGCTATGCTCTGTGCAGGCGGTGTCGTTTTGTCCGAAGGAGGAGGTGTTGTGGCTGATGGCTGCCAAGCAGAAGTGGCTGCAGGGCGACGTGCCGGCCGCCAGACAGATACTCGCAGAGGCCTACTCACAAAGCGGCAACTCGGAGGCCATCTCACTGGTACATACATCCATGCAAACCATCCCCGTGGGTAAATGGGGATGTGCGTGTCTGCAGGCAGCGGTGAAGCTTGAGCGCGAGAACAACGAGGTGGAGCGTGCGAGGGCGCTCCTCGAGAAGGCACGCAGGGACTGCAACACGCCCAAGGTATGTATGCACTGTCTATATGCACATCTTCAATACGCGGGTACCATGCATCCCACACCGACCAACACTCCTTTCCGTCATGATACTCACATGTGGATCCCCGTGTCGTGTCAGGTGTGGATGCAATCGGTGCAGCTGGAGCGCGAGCACACCGACGACCCGAAGCGCACCAAAGCACACGAGCTCGTCGAAGAGGCGCTACAGCACCACCCCACATTCGCAAAACTCTGGATGATCGGTAAGCAGGCAGCCACCATTCATTCGATGGATCCGTGGGTACCCGGGTGTGGGTCACTGTCTGTCTGCCTTCTTCCCTCCTTCCTCTTTGCCCCCCTCCCTCCCCCCCAATGCAGGTGGGCAGCTGTACATGGAGGAAGACCCACCCAACCTCGACATGGCCGCCGACTTTTTCAACAGAGGTCAGCGGGGAAATCGCGAATTCGCTGTTTGGTCCGCCACTGACTTGGTCGTCTTCTTTGCTGCATAATCTGTGCGTCCATCAGGTCTGCAGGTGTGCACCAAGGCAGTGCCCCTGTGGCTTTGTGCGCTCGACTGCCAGAAGCGTCAGGGCAACTGGACCAAGGCTCGAGCACTGCTCGAAAAGGTCCGATTCACGAGAGCACTCACGTAGATCCACAGGACAGCGAATCATGAGTGCCTCATCCTGTGTGCATCCCAACCCATTGCTGTCCCATCCCATCAGGCGCGTCTAAAGAACCCCAAGTCTGAGGATTTGTGGTTGGCGGCGGTGCAGATCGAGCGTGCGGCCGACAACCCCAAGATGGCGCACCACATGATGTCGCGCGCACTGCAGGAGTGCCCCACGTCAGGCACACTCTGGGCGGAGGCCATCGAACTTGAACCCAAAAGCGCACAGGTCGGCCACAGGCGTGGCTGCAAGCCTTTCATATTAATCAGCGTGCATGTGCTCGGTTGTTGGCATGTGGGCTGATGGATGCAGAACGCCAAGTCGGTCGACGCCCTGACCAAGTGTGAGAATGACGCCAATGTCATCGTGGCCGTAGCCAGGTCAGTTGACACAGAAGGAAAGCAAGCAGCCTGCAGACGTCCATCAGCACCAATGTGCTGTGCCTTGGTTGGCTGCTTGGCTGCGTCAGGTTGTTTTGGCGTGACGGCAAGATCGCCAAGGCCCGCAAGTGGTTCAACCGAGCCGTCACACTCAACCCTGGGTGAGCAACTTCAGACACAACAACCAGAGATGCAGCTTCCTTCGGTCCATTTCTATCTGTGTGTATGTGTATGTGTGCCTGTCTGACAGTCTGGGCAATGCGTGGGGCGCATTCCTGGCCTTCGAACTCGAGAACGGCACAGAGGTAGGACGTTCGGCTGCTGCATACACACTTCATTCTGACCATCCATCCATCCATCCATCTGCATGTCTTGCTGACTGTCCATGGAAAAATGCTCAGGAGCAGCAGCGTGACGTCATCAATCGCTGTCACCAGTCGGAACCAAACAGAGGTCAGACAAGGGGGGAGGGAGGGCCGTCAAGGGCTAACCAAAATGTGTCCGTGTGAGGTGCCCATTCAGGTTTGGCCTGGAACCGCATCGTCAAGCGCGTCGAGAACTGGCGCCTCTCAATCGCAGAGGTCTGTCGGCAGCAGCACATGTGCACACACATGATAGGTGCACCGATTCCTCTCCTTTGCTGTGCAGAAGCTTCGCAAGTTTGTGGACGAGATCTACCCCGACTCGCTCAAGGTGGAGTCCATCACTGCAAGTAAGCAATCACGCACATACACACACAAGTGCCCATCCATTCATGGTCGGTCACTATGCTGTGTTGTGGCTGTTGTATGATGTCTCTTTCATTCACTGATTTGTCCTGTAGTCATCCATGACGCCCTCCACGGCAAGCTGGTCCTCGAGGCAAAGCAAGAGCCAGCACCGGTCCGTCACACGCATGCACACAATTTGTTCCATCGTGTCCACTGGCCTTCCCTTGTCTGTCTTCTGCGGTCAGATGGAGATCGAGAACCAGCCCAACGGCCCCGCTGCAGCCGCACCCCCCTCCTCTGACGACCCCAAGAACGACACCGACCCCAACGCAGTCAACGCGCAAGTGAGCGAATTACTGAAGTCGGCCAAGCAAGAGCCACAGGGCACCAAGCGGCAGCAGCAGCAGGGGGGCGGTGCTAATGGAGTGGAAGCAAAGAAGGAGCCGTTTGTGGCTGCGGCCAAGTTTGAGGGCCCGCGTGCTGGGTACTCGTTCAAGCGGGACGAACAGGGCACGGGCTACTACCTGGATGAACAACCCACTAAGAGACTCAAGAGGGAATAGACGAATGAATGAATGGATGGTCCGATGAAGACGCCAGGCAGCGAGATGGAATGAATGGAGGGGTGCACAGTGAGGTCTCAGCTGTACGATGTCTCGTGGTGGCTGGCGTGCATGACGTCATTCTATGGATGGATGGATTTTTGGCTCGGTGTCAGTGCCATCTTCTTCGTATTGTTCCGTCGACAATGAGTGCATGACAAGCCAGCACGGCACAAGCTGACAAGTCTTCATCGCCTCATCATCGCACACGTGCTCCGCCCAGACGCTATTTTATACACACACCGTCATTCATTCATTTATTCCTTCTTGGATTACTCAGCTGTCTGCCTGCGTAGCCTCCAACCTGCCGCTCCCGAGCGATAAAGGTGCAAACGCCGACCAGACGCAGCCCTGACACAACAAAACACAACACAACACAGTGATCCGCACCGTGTCAAGAAGGTACATTCTGTGCTATTCTCGCCCCCCTCCCCCTGTCCCTCACCTGTACAGTCTGTCGTAGAGTGCCAGTGCCGGCTCACCCATGTCCGATGCGTCATCGGCCACACCCACACAGATCAGGCCACAGCCCCGCTCCACAGCCGCCGCCTCTGCCTCATGCAAAGTCGCAAACAGCGACCGCATCGCCTCCTCCAGGAACGCCGACTCGTCCGATGCCGTGTGCTCGGCCGCCTCGCAGAGGTCGAAATAGGCCGCAAACTCGCCCCTCAGGTCCCTCATCCGGCTGCCCATGTCTATGAGAACACACTTGCTGGGAGGGGGCAGGGCGGGGGACTCCTCTTGGGGGTGAATGTCGATGCCGGTGCCGGAAGAGGTGTCTGTCGTTGCCACTGAGATTAGATAGGTGGGTACTGACGGGGCGTAGTGGCTCAGCAGCATGCCGGGGCTCTCCTGCGCCTCGGACGCGGACGGCGGTGCTCTTGCGACATCTTCACTGGCACTGCCGCGGCCGTAGTCGATTTTGGGGGATACATACACCCGGATGGAGGCCATCTCCGCACCGGCCTGCCGCAGACACTCTTCGATCATCTCCTTAGACACCCTGCCCCGCCTGTTGATGCAGATGCGATCATCCCAATCCTCTCCCTCCCTCTCGCCCATCTCGAGCTTGATGACAGTCGATTCGATGCCCACGTGGCATGACCCGCCGTCAAGGATCACCAGGTCCTCCTGAGGGAAGTTCTTGAGCACGTGCTGCGCTGTAGTGGGCGAGATGGCGCCGAACAGATTGGCAGAAGGGGCCGCTATGGGCCGGTCGGAAGCACTGATGAGGTCAAGGGCCAAGGAGCTGTTCGGACACCTGACGCGAGAGGATCGCCAAACACAGATACCATGATCATGACAGGCCGCCCTGCCTCTTGAAGGATCTTTCGTGGGTCTGTCTGTTGTTGTCTGACCTGACGGCAACGAATCCCGTGCCTGCCGTCACTTCGGGGGGCACGATCCCTCTGGCCTTGCCGATAATGCTCAGCGGCCCCGGCCAGAAGGTGGCGGCGAGCCTCTCGACCACCTCCCTCTCCCTGTCACCCACATCCAGCAGTGCCAGCGCACCTCCCTCGCCAGATAGACCCCCCACGTGGCAGATAAGGGGGTCGGTGAGAGGCCGCCTCTTCATGGCGAAGATCTTGAGGACGGCCTGCTCGTCGAGTGCGTTGGCCCCCAGGCCGTAGACGGTCTCTGTGGGAAAGGACACCAGAGATCCCTGCCTAATGCGGGCACCCAGATGGGCCATGAGTTGGCGGTAGGCGGGTGAGCTCCTGTCTTGGTGCGGCTGGATGAGCCGTGAGGATGAGGGTTTATCTGACCCTTCCTCTGCACCGCTGTCAGTCGGCAGCATCGACACCAACAAAGCGGACCTCTGCTGCTGCAAAAGCGGCCCTGATTCAAGAAGTCCCCGTAGCTGCACACAAGCATTTAGAAGAAACATCCGTCCAGCACCCGTCAGTCATGAATCGTTGCAATCGTGATGCACCTACTCGGTATTCTTGAGGCAGCGACTTGGTGCTTTTCTTGGCGATGAAGAAAGGCCGGAAACAGCTGAATGCGGGATGAGTCACGAGTAGAATCCAGCACGTCAGGAGCAGATGATCAAAGGCCCGTTTCATCCCTTCTCCGCCACGGCTTTTTACTGGGGCGGCCGCTCTCTAACACAAGACAGGTACAGGGCGTTGATCATTCACTCATTCATTCGTTGAGAAAACTGCTTCCTCCAGCCGCTGTCGACCTTCCTCTCTGGTATGCATGCGTAGGAAGGATGAAGCATCTTCGTGTGCGGCCCAGTGTGGGTTCATGCTTGTGGTGTGTGCAGGTTCTTCTTCCGCGCCCCTTGTCGTGTCGCTTTTTGTGCACGGGTGCACTTGTGCAATCAGTCTCTCGTGAGTCTCTCGTGCGCATCAAGACAAATGGATTCACTCAACCACATAAAGACATGCTGTCTGTGTGGCTGCCTTCCTGTGAATGGCATTCTCTCAGGCGTGTTGTTCGCTTTGCCGATTGTCATCGGTTCATTCATTCAATCGCTCTCGAGTCCCCACGCTTGAGTTGACCCATCTTGATCAAGACCATCACCACCAGAAGGACCTTTGAGGCGATGAAGAGCAGTGTGACCTCGACTGATGTTGACTTCGACTCTGACGACATGTTTGGAAGAGAATGATGGGAAATGGATGAGCATGATGAAAAAAAACTTCCATGCAGGTCATTCATCCGGACACAGATGGCCCTCGACGATGAAAAGAGAGAATCGCTCATCAAGCGGTCACGCGATGTGGTGAGCGACTCCTGTCTTATCTGCTTCATGCCCTTTTCGTCTTGACGTCTGCGGTGCTTGTTTTGCAGTTGAAGCTCTCGAAGATGAGCATTTCCATGTGTCTGCGAGGGGACACTCAGAACGCACAGAAGAATCTGGATGAGTGCCTCACGATACTCAAGCAGGAGCTCATACCTGTCGGTGAGCATGGGCCAACCACATTCATACAGCTTACAGAGGTATCTCCGGTGTGAATGGGTGTGGCTCGTGTGTGTGTTTCTTCTGTGTGCAGTGGCGGAAATCCCCGCTCTGCGCTCCTCCGTCGCATTTTGCTTGGAGGTCTGTCCCTAGCCATGGATTTGCACGTCACTGGATATATGTTGATGACCGACTCAAATCGTGTATGGCCCTCATGCAGGAGTGGGCTGAGGCCAAGATCCTCCATTCGTTCCTGATGCACAACAGGTACGCAGCAGCCGTGCCCACAGTAGATCGTCTGGCGTGCTTTCATACTTCCTCGTGTACGTGGTGTGTGGTGGTGTGTGGTCATGCAGGATCCCACGCCTGGGCGACTTGGAAGTGTTGACGTACGAGGAGTATCTGGGCGGGTTGCTGGACTTCACTGGCGAGCTCAACAGATACGCAGTGCTTCAGGCCACGGCCAGACACGAGACGGACGTGAAGGTCAGCCGTAGCCAGCCGACATAAGATGCACTTGCTTCCCGGTGATCAGTATTGTCACATTCGCCATGGCTTGTGTTGTGCAGCGGTGTCAGGATCTCTGTACGAGGGTGCAGGAAGAAATGATGCAGGTACTCAGGCTTATCAATTATATGGTCTGCCTGTATGTTTCCTTAACTACTTGGCGCCAGTTCGATCTCAGAAACTCCAACATCCGCAGGAAATATGATACGCTCAAGTACACTGTGAAGGTGACGAGATGCAGCTGCATGGCTCTGCTTCGTTTAGATGGTCTGATCTGTCTTCTGCCATGCTTAGAAGCTTGACGCGCTCGTATACGAGCTGTCGTTGGCGCGTCAGCTCGGGCGGGTCATGGATCCGTCTGCAACAGGCCAAGACGACCCACCGAAGGAAGTGCCTGAAGAGCAGGGGTGACCGAGTGTGTTTGTTTGTGAGCACATTTATTTGTTCAGGGGATGGAGTATGTAGAGTGATGTCGTGTGCATATGTTTTTGGGATGTGCCTTCGTGCTCCGAATCGACAAGACGAGCGGGGCGCTTGTGCAATTCGTGCCAGAACACGTCCAGTCTGGGAACTGGTACAGTGGGCCTCGGATAAATGGGACACGGCCCAGGGTGTCCCATATACAGTAAGTATCGCATAAAGCAATCAGTACCGGGGTGATTGCTTTATGGATTTGATGGGTTTATGCGAACAAGCCAATGATTGCTTTATCTGCTGCTTGTTTTCTGCGGGGTTTCTCGCCGTGAATGACTCATCAGAGCCACCCTCCATCACATTGACTCTTTTTTCACCGCTCAAACGACTCTGAAACAACGAAAAACGATGGATGATATGGATTTACGCAAAAGGTTGCCGATCGCTCGTGAGCGTGATTTCGGAGCCCTTCAGTCACTTTGTGGATGTCAGCGGCAGATCGTGGCCTTCCTGTGAGGCAGACTAGCGCCGATTTCACCAAAAGTAGATGTATGGATGGACAGAGATGCACCAACGATGCAGAGCCATGAACGACAGATCTGCCTAGATGAGGTACGGCAGCACGACTCACTCACTCAAACTCAGTCATCGAGCACGCTTGAGGTGTCCCTTCTGTTGTGCTTCTGTTCTGATGCCTTTTCAGTCGTCCGAACAGTGGGCACTCACGTAGCGCTCGACGGCCGCGCATCACCAACAACAACAACTGGAAGGAGCAGCACGAGCAACGTGGCGTGTGGTGGTATCTGTTGCTCGTGCTGCTCCCACCTACCTTTATCAACAGCATTGGTGTCACCCTCCTCGTCTTCCACACACACACACACACCACACACACACACGCGCACACACACACCACTCACAGAGAAAAAGCGACAGTGAGAGATGCATGTTCGATCCCATTTCTGCCTGCCTGTAGGTACCTTTTGCTTGTGTTCGGCCCGCAGCTTCTTCTGTGCTTCCTTCTTCTCGACTGCACCGGCACGCGCCTTCTGCTTGGCTGCTGCCTGCTCGGCCTCGTGTGCGATCGCGAACACCTCGGCCTCCTTGGCCTGGTCGGCGTATTGCTGGAAGGCGGGGGGCGGGGGAGCATGTCCATTGCCGTCGCCGTCCTGCTCCTCGCCCTTGGCCTCACCGTCACGAGCACCCTCACCATCACCCTCGGCCTCTCCCTCACCATCACCCTCACCATCACCCTCGTCCTCCCACTCCTCATCGTCATCACGCTTCTTGCGCCGCTGCTGCCCGCCGCCGCCCTTGGTCTTGGCTTTGCTGTTGGCGGCCTTGGTTTTCGCCTTTCCCTTCGCTCTGCCCCTCGCCTTGCCCTTGGCCTTGCTCTTCGGTCTGTTCTTGGGTCTGCCCTTGGGCTGCGGCGCTGGCTGGTGTGCCGAGGCTGCCATGGCCGCTGCATCATCGCCATCTGAGCCATCAGCCACGTCGGCCTACAGCTTCTGCATGTCTATCGACCATATCTCGGCTGGCCGATCTTGGTACGATTGGCGCACCATGGTGCGCTGCGATGTGGCGGGTGG